GTGTGTGTGTGTGTGTGTGTGTGTGTGTGTGTGTGTGTGTGTGTGTGTTTGTGGCGTGCCTCGAGCAAAACTTGTACATTCTCTGATGTGTGGCTCGATTGGGTTAAGTGTATCATGAGTCTGAATGCGCTTCTGTATGAAGTACCAATCCAAGTTGCCTCGGATGAACAGCCAATTCTTCGACAAGAATCGATGTCGTTGTTAATTTTGCTTTTTTTCTCTCTCATCTCCTTCGCCCTCTCACCGCTACACCTTGGCCAATTGTTCGTGTTGTGGCTGTTTATATTTTTGACATTGGTTGAATTTTTCCAGTCGTTTGTTCAGTGGCTACAATTCGCTTTCTCTCTTTGCCACAGCGAAGCTGTTTCGTTGGCTGTGCAGTTTTTTTTTAGATAATAACAAAATTCTAAGAATTGCCAATACATTTACTGTTTTTCGATAAGAATGTTGTGTGTTTGGCTCGCGTATTTTCGTTCTTCTTCTTCTTCGCTTCGTTTTTGCATCCGAATCGTTATGTTCATTTGGTTCGGTGGATCGGATCGAATCAAAATACAATATTGTCGCATATAATCCATTTGGTTGTTTATACCATTTGGGTTTGTATTTTTGTCGCGCGCGTACTGCCATCGACCATGTTGCGGTAGCGTATTAGTGGCAGAAGAAGAAAAAGGAACAGACAAAACGCACCGAATATATTATTTGTTTGTTGGCTCACAAGGAGTTTCTTATTTTGATCATCATCGTTTCTTAGTCTTCCTGCGCAATGTTTCCCTTCTGCCTATTGTCTTGTGGCTATTATTTCGTTTGTTTCGTTGGCTGCTGCTGCTGCATCAGCAGCAAGTATTGTTCTCTTTGGCTAACTTTATTATATGCTTATTCCTCACGCGATTATTGTGTTTTCAGTTTTGTTATCGATAAATTTCCGTCTTAACACCGTGCGATGAGACACACGGAGCAACAACATAAAAAATATACGATTAAAACAGCAATGAGCAACAGCAGCAAAGAGAATATATAGCGGCAAAAAAAGCATCCTATGTACTATATACAGAGCAAAAGAAGCACACAAAACAAGATGAACATTTTGTGAGTGCGCGAGTATGTTTTCGAATCCGTGGAGCATTTTTTTCTCTCTTCTTTTGTTCGCTCTATCTCTTGCTCGGTGCAACTGCGCATGCTGCTGCTGAAAATATTTTGTTCGGGATATAATGATATCTTATTTTTTTACAGTCTTTATTTCATTTTTTTCTCCCGAACTCCTCTCTGTGCTCATTGTACTGACGAAGCGTGAATTGTGTACACATTTTTCGTTTCGTTTCGTTTTTTTTTCTCCATTCAATGTATATGTGCCTGTTTTCTCCGTTCATCTCTGTTTGTTCGCGGCTGGCATTGTGCATACATTTTAATGGATGCCATATTGCACCAATGTTCGAACACACGCTCCGTTGTGTAGCCATTGAATTTAGAGAGCTTGGCCACGACTAGAACCCGATGCAAAAAGGAAGCACCAAATAATACCATGTTTTCAAATATGACCAATAAATTTTGTAACACTTTCCATTTGCGAATGGGTTTCGTTTCACGTTTCGAAAAATCATGTTTGATGTGCATTACAAAATCACTGTTCTCTCACTCACAATTGGATGGGAACTGCTGCTGCTGCTTCTGCTGCTGATTATTCGTAACGACAATGATTCTTTTCACTGCTGTTCTTTCAAAAGTGCACTTTTTTCCATCTGTATTCCTCCACATATTCCATTATGTTCGTGGCGAATGGAGAGAGAGTGAGTGAGTGAAGAAAAAATGTCGAATGTCGCACTAAAGTGTTTTTTCGACTTTTATATATTTTTTCCACTGTTAACACATACACGAATCCCAATTAAGTATCTTCATTCCTACCCATTTTCAATTTCGGGTGATGTACTTGATACTTTGTAGTGGGAGGCAAATGAGTACGATGTATGCGACTGCTACGTTTTTCCCATTGTTTGAATTTTACTTGTTTAATGCTTTTAAAGTGCATATTTTTGTTGTTGTTTTATTTGCTTTTCATTTTCAATGCAATAATTTTCATACTATTTACTGATCAATTTGAGTACAAATCGTAACAATAGCAACCGTACCAGCAAACATTTACTCTTTCAATTGTTATAAATTCAATGCAAAGCAGAGGGTTTTTTTCTTCTCTCCAATGCGTTGAACGATGGAACTCTCGAGCGTAACAAGAAGTAAACATTTGCTTATTAATGGATGCCACTCAGAAAAAAATGGCGATATTTTTTCGTTGCTATTATTTCGCATCGCAAATATCCTTATGAAATACCGAATTTGAAATGTTAATGTTTTCTAATCGATTCTTTGTTGTTTATTTTGTTTGGGGTAACAGATTTGATGCACGCCGATTTGCAAGCAACATCATTAGATCTCAACTATGATGGCAGTCAATCGCCCGGCTCTGGCGGTAGTCTGACACAGCAAACGCGTAACAAACGGATGCGCACCTCATTTAAGCACCATCAATTGCGAACGATGAAATCGTATTTTGCCATTAATCAAAATCCCGACGCAAAGGATCTGAAACAATTGTCACAGAAAACGGGTCTGTCGAAACGTGTTCTGCAGGTAATTGAGCAATTTTGTAATTAAATCGCATCGCAAAAACCACATATTCATGCGGGCACACGCACATTCTTTGTGAATGCGAACAAAAAAGCACAGAAATGTAAAATAAACATTGAGATCAATGTCATTAACGATTGGTGTGATTTGTTGTTTGCTTAGGTGTGGTTCCAAAATGCCAGAGCCAAGTGGAGAAGGAATTCGATGAGACATGATGGCAACCAAACGGGCAATCCAACGTCTGGCACACCGTTGACACCGTTAACAATTGGCGGACCGCCAAGCGTTCAATCCACCTCGAGTAGTAACATCGATACATCCGGCATGACACCTTCTCACGCACTCGAAGAGATGCATCATTTAACATTTTCTGAGCTTTACTAATCCCATTTGTGTCACAGCCGGCGCAGAATGCAGGAGATGAGTGCGTCGCATTATGCAACACCACCGCTAATTTCAGCAACAACAACAAACTATTCCTATATTACAACAAAAATCTAATACAACTATTTAACTATTATGAGTATATTTAAGTGTACATTTGTAACTGTAATAAAAAAAACAAACAACAACAACAAGAACATAGACGTATTTTTTGCATTAGGTATTTAAAAACAAAACAGAGAATCAAGCACATTACAAACAAATGGCAACAAAATAACTAATTTTGATTTAGTATTGTGTATTTAGTTATTAGATGATGATGATGTTTTTTGTGTGTAACATCACAGTGTGATTGAATGCAAAACTCAAAACAAACAAGACAAAAACAACATTTACAAGTGAAGAATCCTTAAGTAATTTATTTAATTTCTTAGATTATATAAAAACAATAAAATCTGAAGCCATGCAAACGATTACGTGCCACAATACAACTATAATCAGAACCGAATGATGGAAGCATTAGCTGTACGGTCGTGATCGTTTGAAATATTTGAATTAATATGAAAATAATAAAACGAAAAACCTATTTGTCGTAGTAAAGAGTATGAAGAGAAAAGTGTACGAATGATAATATTGAAAATCTGTGAAACATTCAAAACTGAAATAAAGAAAAAGCTTTGCCTGAACTGTACCGATTTTGAATGGAGTTCACAAAGCAGAACCATAGCAAGAGTTACATTGCAATTATTTTGTACTTTTAGCCGAATGAAAAAACGAGGGATGTTTGAAACAAAGAAACTCAAACTAAAAAATCGAATTCAGTAACTTCCAACGTAAAATGGCTACGACCAAACCGATAAATTCGCCTTTGAATTGTGTTCACATTTGGCTGGGTCGCGAAAACAAATCAAAGTCATTCAACTCGAAGGAAGCATATATGCGGTGTACATTCACCGATCCACCCACATCCAACACACACACACACACACACACACACACACACACACACACACGGATCACTTTATTACCAGTCAAATGGTGTTTCAGCTTTCACCTACGAAACGATTCCGTCTCACACGTTTGGCTACGTGTTAAATGCCATATCTTATGAGCTGATAACTTTGATGTCTTATTAATTCATTTGAATTGTTAAAACGTTGTCTAATTTAAAGTGTCTAATCTCTGCCAAATATGAATTCATTTAAATGAAATGAAAAAAAAAGATCACGTTCGACCCAACACCAATAACCATTATGACTTTGTGAGATCGATATTGCCAGCTTCGCTTGCCATGTGGTACAAACAATAGCTTCGGTTGGTCAGTCAGTCGGTCGGTCAGTCTCTCCCATTTTGTTCTAATATTTATTTTATTTATTCGCTGCTTCTACCTTTACACATACTCGGCTGATATCGAAAATCGCCTGAAAATGAGACAAAACCACGAAAGGATAGAGGGAGAAAGAGAGAGAAAAATGTGAAGAAAAAAACAACCGAATCGCTCGACAAACGAAACAGTCAAAATAGGTGGCCAATTAAAATTGAGAAATTGAAAACGCGATGAAACACTGACAAAATGAATATATAAAATAAAGCGTGCACCGTAACGATAACACCGATCGTGCGCCACACACCGAAACAAAAAAAAATGTGAATAAACAAACAGCAATTCTACAAAAATATTGTCACCTACTTTCAATTGGCATTTTATTCTTGGTTTCATGTTGCAACTGGCGGAAAAACAAATCGCATAACAAAAGGGAGAGAGAAAAAACAACGAGTATTTGTGTGTATGAAGCAAAACTACAATGTGTTGATAGTAGAGAGGCATCGAACGAGATGCAATGCAGTATCACAGGCCTCGCGGTCGTCGTCGTCGTCGTCGTCATCATCAACAACGGCAGCACACAACCAGGAATAACGCAGACAAAATTCATTAGAAATATCGATCGATTTATACGTGCGCGAATTTTTCGTTTCTCTTCCATTTGAAACACTGATCAGAACCGATGGCTTTGACTTTGCCACACATAAATCACTGTAATCGCTACAATGTGAACTAAAATCAAAAGACCATTGGCCGTACTTGTTGTTGGGATTTGTCTTTTTTCTGTGTGTCGCTTTCAAGCGTTGTGGCAATCACAGCGCATCGCTGGCTGCATTTTTGGTGTGAAAAATCAACTTAACTTCTTGCATCTGGTTTCACTTCGGATAATTTCATATTGGTGGTCGCGTACAAATGCCATTTTTCGTATCACTTGATTTCCTGGTTTCTCGGAAACTGCGATGCATTTGGAACAGTGTTAATCGATTTGAATTTGGGAGAGAGACAGAGGAGAGAGAGAGAGAGAGAGAGAGAGAGAGAGAGAGAGAGAGAGAGAGAGAGAGAGAGAGAGAGAGAGAGAGGAAGACAGAACAGTTCACAACAGAAAAAAAATTCTTAACGATTGCCACCTGAAAATACAACAACAGTTTGGTCTCAATAGTTAGCTAGAGTTTGTACATATTGCCACTGTGTGTATTTGTTGTTAGCAAACACAACGGTCGGCCCATAACATGTGTGTATTAACGGCAGTGTGAAACATCGAAATGAAAACAGGAAAAAAATAATAACGAAACAATTCGATCGAATCAATCGGTGGCATTTTTTTCTCTCTTCTGTAGTAAATCGGAATTCGTACCCAATTAACAAATTTTTTAGACGCTATACATAAATTACACCGAACACAACGCCGAACGCACCACAACAACAACAAACGAAGAACACGGCTGGAAAAAGGCCTGAAAACTATAGCAAAGGAAAGGAGAAGGAAAGAAAAAAAAAGCGAGCACCAAGAAAACAAATATGATTTTGTGATAGAACATAAAGGAAGCCGTAGATAAACAAATATCCACCGAACTATTAACGACAATGCAACACATACGAAGGAAAAAAAAATACTGACCGGACAACAACGAAATGATTATACAGCAGAGGAACATAAAAATGCTACACATTCACGCCAAACGCGGTGCGGTTCGATATTCGAGTGGTCTTCATCAGCTTCCACTTCTTTTTCGGCTGCTCATGAATAGTCCTTGTTTTTGTTTTCTTTTCTTGTTGTTTCATTTTGTCTGTGACCAAAACAGAGTAAGACAAAATGAATCTATTTTATAGCTTGGCAACGCATTACGATATCATAAATTCTACTGCAGCTGAATCTACGAGCGATCATTGAATGCACGATGAACGAACGGAACGGTCATTCAAATGTTTGGCTGAATGAATGCTATTTATCGCGCTCTGGTTCTCATGATCATCTTTATTTTGTGCATTGATTTCTATTCTTAAATTTTCGGCTTGACCGCAAAAATCGAATGCAGAAGAAAAAAAAAGGCAAATCAATATGCTCCTTGTATCCCATATTGTTAGCCGAATGAAGAAGGAAAAAAAAATAGTCCGTCACACGAACGGTAGCCGAAAAATTGTTGCTTCTGAAACCCATCATTGGGATACTTTTCGCTATGGGAACTCAATTAATCAACATTTTTCGCTCTCTCAATTCCAATGAAAACTATACCCAAAATGCATAGCCGCGCGCAACAATGAATGTGATTTTGGACCTGAATTTGGACGAGTATTTCAGTAGCCACATATTCAGAATGAAAACTATTCACTAATTGACGGTTTCGCTTCAAATTATGCGCACAACACAATAGGAACGTCGCACGGTGGGAATCACCAAATCACACACATCAATCAAAATTCCTTTCTCTCACATCCACGATCACCGGTTTGGTCGTTCGCATCAATGGATTTAGATTCTTCAGACAGAATCAGATCGCATAAAATGCTGGCTTTTTTTCTATCTAAACAGATGTGGTTGAAGGTTGTTGTAAAAGTTTTTAAGTTGATGCTATCAAAGCCAATAATCCGTCGTAAAACTTCCAACGTCTAACGAAAAAAAACCAGTTCAATACAAATAGAAAACATTTTATTCAAACACATTAAGGTTGACATTGCAAATGTGTTACGATCGAAAAGCACATTGGTTTTTGAAAAAATGCGATTTTATCCGTTTTCACTCTATAACATTCAATTTATATGCACAACCATTCATTTAGGATTTTTGGCAATTCTATTGCCAATATTGTCAAAAAAAAAATTAATCTGGCAATTTCATTGAAGGCAATGATAATTTTATTGATCGTTTTGTTACAAGCAAACACCAATTGAATCACTGTCAAATGTAAAAATATCAAACTTTTTATTATTCATCAGCAAAGAATATCAATAGATGTATTGGCATTGCATTGCATTGTATGCCAACAATTCCATTGAGAACATTCACTTTGTCAATGAACCGTGCGTGTTTAAATCGAACATTGCATATTGCCACACGAACACTTGTGGCGTTTGCATTAGACCAAAAACAAAACCAATAAAAAAAAAGTTGTGCGATGCGCATATGCCAAATATGGACCGAGGAAAAACTAATTTAAACGCAATCACATGTATCATACTTAAAAGCCCCTGACTTAAATACCAATCGATCCTGCTGTTTTTTATTTGCAGTTCTAGAGTGAGTTTACAACGTGCGTTATAAATCAGGAAAAAGAAGAAGAATGAAAAGGAATAATCTATGCATAAAACTAGCAAACAAGGCTAAATCGTCTTGTAAATGATGCTTTTATTTGCGATCGAAGTTTCAGCGGTATAGCCGCTCTTCTTGCCCATTCGCTCAAAATCGAAATTTATTTACCGGTACATCTTGGCATTGGGATATGCATTAAGAATTTGATTGTTTGTTTATTTCCAACGCGCGATACTCTCGCTTTTCTCTTCTTGCACGTTGCATTCATCGTCGACTACAGATTTACAGGCAGTAGCATATTATTAACTATACTTAATAACATAATAATAACGGCCGATATATTGGTCAAACATAACATAATAATAACGTTATTAAGATTCAGCATAATAATAACATAATATGTTATGCGTTATATCGGGTGTTATCTTAATAAATCCTAAGATTCGGCGGTAATAACATTTTATTAACTATGCTAATAACATATTATTAAGATGGATTTATTAACTGAATTAATAACATATTATTAAGATACAATCTTAATAACGCTTTTTTCGCGCATTTCTTTCACCGGAGCACTGACAAGTTGTTTTTTCACTGCAGAGTACACACATGAATTTTTGCACTGTTGCAATGAAATTAAAATGACTCTTTGAAACGGAATTATCATGTATTGAACTTAACCATTAAGTTTAGGAAATCGCCAGTCCCGACCTTGAAAGGATCAATTTACCATATTTTGTCTGCATTGTTATAGGTGCGTACACCATACACTGTACACCCGTAGTGAAAAAAAAAATCCAGCGCTTTTTTTCTCTCCAGCTAGGGAAAAGAATGCGCGAAAAAAGCGTTATTAAGATTGCATCTTAATAATATGTTATTAATTGAGTTAATAAATCCATCTTAATAATATGTTATTATTATAGTTAATAAAATGTTATTACCGCCGAATCTTAGGATTTATTAAGATAACACCCGATATAACGCATAACATATTATGTTATTATTATGCTGAATCTTAATAACGTTATTAAGATAAAAAAAATCCCAACATAACATAATCAGGGAGTGTAACTCCGAGGAGGAGGAATGGTGAGGAGGTGAATGAGGAGGAGGAGAGCGCTGAGGAGGTTCTTCCTCCT